TTGGAGGAGGTCTCCAAGATAATGAGGAGGATGTGAACCAAAATGAAAGAATTCACTGAGGAAGCCTTACGAAAGAGTAAGGAAAAGTCAGCGAGTAGACTTTTCCATGATGTCATATCCATCCATGGCCATCACCCTCCACTCCCTCCATTCCTTCTGGATCACCTCCACTCCTTTGTCACTAACCTCGGAGCCTCCGGATTCCGCAACCACTGCAGACTCCCCTGATGGTCACCACCCCCTCAATCCAATATATTACCTATGTACAGAGCCCCAAAGGCCTCCAGACAGCTCTGATGTCCGCTAGTGCACTCCTGCCTCTGCTGGGCAATTTAGTTGCTTGCCCTGCAAGCCTATCTTCAGGCTGATCCCTCCTTTCTGTTTCTGGGTTATAGCCTGTCAATCCACTAAACCCATAACCCAACTCATCAGTAATATTCAGTCAGCTAACATGTAACTCCATTAGCTCCACTCTGCTCGGTCCCATTGTTCATGGGCCCACCCCCCATATAAGGATATATACATAACTTGTAGATAGGTTACACCCTAGTGATAAAATCAACTAGAGTTATCCCCCTTCTAGTTCTCATTGCCAGTTAGTAAATTAGGGCATGGACATGTAACTAGGCACAGCACTCCTGGTCTAAGTCACTGAGGCCAAAGCCCTCTGCCACAGGGACGTCTCCCTCATGCCGCATCCGGTCTCTGACAGTATTTTATCACTCCCTGACAGTACACGTCTTGTATGGCACCCAAAGCCCCTCGCACTCATTCACAACTATGCACATTGGTTCCTGACTCAGCCTCCCCATCTCCTGAACCCTCGCAGCCTGGTCCTAGTCATCTGGCGAGGAACCCAGTTGAGTTTCGAAGCTTCTCTAATTTAGAAACCCCTCTCCCATTGACTCCGATCATGTGCCCCATTAGAAATTGATCACCAGTTGCAGATTCCGACTTCAGAGACACCACTGAACAGCCTGTAGATCCAGTCCACTTCTTTGGACTCAGCTCCAAGGTCCCCAACTTTGTCAACCCTCCTCCTGTTGATCCTCCTATCCCTACTGTCCCAGTCACTGACGATGCTGAGCCTATTCCCAATGTAGCTATCACACAGCCATCGCCAGCTTGGCTCATCACACCAGTTGACCACCTCCTCCACCATCCTCCACTCTCCGGACCAAGGTCTGCAAGCCCAAATAGTTTGACAGAAAAGACCCCCATGAACTCTGAGTATTCCTGGTCCAGTGCAAACTAAATTTCCAGGACCACCCCCTTGCTTTTGCTAGTGACTGTGCCAAGGTCATTTTGTGCAGTCTGTCAGAGACCAGATCGAGATGAAGGATTGTCTCCATGGTGGAGGGCTTCGGCCTCAGCAACTCAAGCCAGGAGCGCTGTGCCAAGTTACACATCCATGCCCTAATATACTTACTGGCACGAGAACTAACAGGGGGTCAACTCTAGTCGATTTTATTACTGAGGTGTAACCTATGTACAAGTTGAGTATATATAGTTACATTGAGGGTGGGCCCATAAATGGCGGGGCCAAGTGGAGCGGAGCTAATGGAGTTAAACATTAGTCGATTGAATATTACTGACAAGTCGGGTTATGGGGTTAGCAGAATGGTAGGTGATAACCCAGAAACGGAAAGGAGGGATAGGCCTGAAGGTGGGCTTGCAGGGCAAGCAAGTGAATTGCCCAGCAGAGGTGGGAGTGTGCTAGCGGACGTCAGAGCTGTCCAGAAGCCTTCAGGGCTCCATACTTAGGGAGGCATAGGTAATATTGACAAGAGGGGGTGGTGACCATCGAGGGAAGCGGAGGTGATTGCGGAATACGGGAGCTCTGAGGTTAGTGAAGGAGTGGAGGTAGTCCAGAGGGACCGGAGGTAGTGAAGGACGATGGCCATGGATGGATATGACACAGTCCTACCTCAAGGGGATGGCTCTTGATTGGTTTGAGCTGGACCTACTGTTTGACCAAAATTCCTTACTTCGTCCTCATTGGATGAATAATTACCAGGAGTTCATCAATGAACTTCAGACCAACTTCGGTCCTCACAATCCTGTGGGTGATGCCAAAGTCCAACTTATGACCCTGGATGTCAACAAGTACGTCGTCAAGTTCAATCAACATGCATCACAACTTCACAGCTATGGAGAAGCCATGCTCTGCCGTTTCTTTTATAATGGATTGCCAGAACATATCAAGGATGACATTGCTAGGGTAGGGAAACCTTCTACCCTTTCAGAACTTCGCACCTTATCACAGACTTTCAATGCACACTGTTGGGAGCGTAAATCCGAAGTAACTTGTCATGTGAAACCTTCCACCTCCAATGTCTTTGACAAGACCACTACCACTTCCTGCTCTGACACTGTTCCTTCCTCCTCCTCATTCAATCCCACTTCTGGTAGCAAGCCTCCAAAGGACAACAAGAAGTCCAAGGTCAGTGATCTCTCATCAAAACTCGGAGACAATGGCAAGCTCACACCACAAGAGCATAAGCATCATCTCGATGAGAAACTTTGCATGTTCTGTGGACAGTCTGGCCACATGGTCAAGGACTGCCCTAAGTTCTTCTTGCACATCTAAGGCCTGCACAGCTCAGACCGAAGAGCAAGGATCTGCTTCCACAGAGGCAAAAAATTAGTCTGCACCCCTGTGGACTCCACACAGACCGTGGGTTGCGATTCTTCCCTCCGTGCACTCAAAGAAGTATGCCTAAACATGTCTTCCATTTCCAACTTGTCCTCCCTCCACATTCCCGTTTCTTTCTCTCTTTCTAATGGTCTATTTCCTCCTTTTAATGTTGACCCTTCAGTTAATGTTCTACCCATTGTAGATAGTGTTGATAGTTCACTTTCTTCTCCCCCTCCACCTCTGACTACTTCTGTAGATTGCTCCACTTCTCTTCTCTTCTCTTCTTTCACCTCTCCTGTCCCTACTTCCCTGTCCGATGTTAGGACAAACAATAAACTCTTCCACAGCTATGAGAACATTCCCGCACTCATAGACTCTGGGTCTTTGGACTGCTTCATCGATGACAAATTCATGAAGGAGCTGGCCCTGAAGACATATCAGATAAAACCTCTACAACTATGCCTTTTCGATGGTAGCACCAACTCCATCATAACCCATGCTGTTGATATTCCCCTCTGCTTTGCTTCTGGAAACATCACCCCCATGACTTTCTTTGTCACATTGCTGGATGGATCTTGTTCTCTAGTCCTAGGACACAACTGGCTTACCCACTACAATCCATTGATTGACTGGGTCTCAAGCAGTATTATGTTCCAAACTCCTGAACTAACCAAGACAGTTACCCCAAGCTCTCCCCCATCGTTTCCAGTTCCACCACCGCCACCTGACATCCAACCATCTGATGTTCCATTAGCACCTCAGCCCCAGGCTCCCATTTCTCTGGTACCATCCATCAAGTTTGTCCGCCGTTCCGCATTTGTGAAGGCATGTCGACTTGAAGGATCAGTATCCTTCAGCCTAACCATCCCTTCCCAGGACAGCCGCTTGAGGGCTGCCTCCTCCCACACCGATTCTGTTGACCTTTTGGCTGTTCCGAAGGAGTACCATGAGTTCACAGACGTGTTCAGCAAGAGCAAAGCCTCAATGCTAGCACCACACCGTGAGCACAACCTGAAGATCGACCTTGAGGAAGGCACTTCACCACCCTTGGGAACTATGTATTCCCTCTCTACTTTGGAACTCGAGGCTGGCCAGGCGTTGTTAGATGAGCACCTAGCCTCCGGGTTCATTTGTCCTGCAACTTCTGCTCATGTGGCACCGGTCCTCTTTGTCTGCAAAAAGGACCGATCCCTCCATCTTTGCATTGACTTCCGAGGGCTGAATAAGATCACCAAGGAAGATCACTACCCACTTCCCTGCATCTCAGACCTCCTTGATGCACCTAGCCATGCCACTGTCTATACCAGACTCGACCTCTGGCATGCTTACCACCTGGTTTGCATTGCAGCAGGTGATGAGTAGAAGACTTCCTTCTGCACATGCTATGGTTCTTACGAGTGGCTCATCAAGCCATTCGGTCTCACGAATGCGCCTGCAGCCTTCCAGCGATTCGTCAACATGATCTTTGCCAACCTCATGGACGTTTCTGTGGTAGTCTACTTAGATGACATCCTTACCTACTCAGAAGACATGGCTTCACACCAGGAGAAGTTCTTAGGAGACTCCGCAAACAAGGCCTATACGCCAATCCGAAGAAATGCGAATTTCATACAGACACTATGGAATATCTCAGATATTGCCTTTCTCCCTCCGGACTCGCCATGTCCATCGAGAAGGCCAAAGCCATTGTTAGAATGGGCGGATTCGGACAACTCCAGAGTGGAATCGGAGACTTGGTGTGGAAGGACCTTGGCCTCAGCGACTCAGGCAGAGCGCTGTGCCATTGCTGGTTGTCCTGGGGGTCCCTAATTTTAGATCTAGCAGAGGGAAAGTCTCTTGGGGGCATTTCAGGTCGATTTCGGACTGAGGTTACAAGTTACTATGTACATTGTATATAAGGAGGGGTCCGGAATCAAAAGGAGCGAGGGTACTCTGGAAGGAGACAAAGGGAGCTGAAAGGAGGGGCAACACTGAGGGTTAAGGGTTCGACTCAATGGTGTTTCCCAAAGGAGGAGTGAAGGGCCAAGGCCCAATGTCAGGTCACGGTCCATGTATGTAGGGGTCACGTGACCCAGGGAGGTCACTATCGTCCTACCCACTGTGAATCATACATATTTGATACTCATAGCTGGGTTCTAGGACACCCACCTTACACTTTTTTGAGTACTTTTTGTTTGACATCACACTGATCCCTGGCATCGCTAGGAACCACAATTTTATGTGGAAAACAAGTGAGTGTTCATTTTTCATCAAATTCCACTTGCCAGTCCGGCAAGCAAAGACCCTTGCAACTAGCAAGGGGACAAAACCCCCAGTCAATAAGACTGGGAAACAGGTGAAAGTAATGCCAGGATAACCCCTTATGTGCCAGGCAGAGCTGTCACCTGTAGCAGGAGAACCTTGCTTTTGCAAGGAGATGACTTCTCCTGCACTTCACCCAACTCAGTTGGGTACAAAGGCTTTGTGTGATGCCTCCCAGTTGTGCAGGGAGCCAAATCCAAGCCAAACTTACGTGGCAAAACCTGCCACATCATCATTTATGCCCCGGCTCCTCCACCCGGGCCTCAAAGCATTACTCCTCCCATTCTATGTGATGGGAAGGCATCAGAAGCAACCAAACGATTGCTCCTGCTCATACAGGGAGCTGTTTGGAGCTCCAGAAAATGTGGAAAAATCGTCCACATCTTCAGATTCATCTCGCGTCACCCATGCGACATCCAGCTTGCAATATTGCAGCAAGCCGGTTCACTCCCAAGTCTATTTGACTGGGAGTTACACAAAACCATCAAACGATCACTCCCACTGGCACAGGGAGCCGTTTTTGATTCCAAAAAATGTGGGAAAATCTTCCACATCTCCAGCATCGTCTCGCATTAACCGCGAGACGTCCAGATTGCAATATAGCAGCAATCTGGTTCACTCCCCAGTCTATACAACTGGGAGTTGTCATGAACAACCAAATGACCATTCCTGCCTGCGCAGGGAGCCGTTTGGAGTTCCAAAAAATGTGGAAAAATCGTCTACATCTACGGAATCGTCTCGCGTCAGCTGCGAAACGTCCAGCTTGCGATATAGCAGCAAGCCGGCTCACTCCCCAGTCTATGCAACTGGTAGTTGTACAAATCGATCAAACAACAGCTCCTGCCAGCACAGGGAGCCGTTAGTGATCGCAAAAAATGTGGAAAAAACTTCCACAGTGTCTACATCGTCTCATATTAACTGTGAGACGTCCAGCTCGCAAAATCGCAGCATGCTGGTTCAATCCCCAGTCTATGTGACTGGGAATTGTGCAAAACAATCAAACAACAACTCCTGCTCGCGCAGGGAGCCGTTTTTGATTGCAAAAAATGTGGAAAAAATCTCCACATCGTCGTTACCATCTCGCAGCCATAGTGAGACGTCCAGCTCGCCGCCTAGGCGCGAGCCAGTTCAAACCCCAGTCTACAAGACTGGGAATCATCCAACACACTCATGGAATGACCCCCGCTTGCGCAGGGAGCCAGTCCTGAGTGAAAGAAATGTGGAAAAAATCTCCACATTGCAGTCATCGTCTCACAACTGCAGTGAGACTAGCACTTCATCCAGGAATGAGCGCATCCACTCTAACGTGGACAAAGAGTCCATGTCACCTGCATCAATTTTGCCTCTATCCAAGGCACTTCTGGACTTTGTCCAGTTCCCACCTGAATGGAGGGTGGGGAGTACAGAACAGATAATCGCCAGACTAGAAGTCTGGGAATCGATAAGGAAGACCAAGGCACACAGTCAGTGCCTTGGGAACCCCAGATCTGGGGGACAACCATCGTCACATGGACTTAACATGCACGATATTTCTTATCTTTCTTTGGATATGCAGGAGCAGAGGGGATTCTCCCAGAATATGGTGGAACGGCACCACATCAGGCCACAGGATGACCACCTGCACTCAGGGCCAGGTTCATCAGGTGGTGGGAGGTGGTCTAGCCAATTACCCTCTGGGAAATCGCCAAGGAGACTCTCCCAGAATTTGGTGGAACGGCACCACATCGGGCCACAGGATGACCACCCGCATTTAGGGCCAGGTTCATCTGGTGGTGGGAGGTGGTCTTGCCAATTACCCTCTGGGAAGTCACTGAGGGGACCTTCCCAAAATATGGTGGAACGGCACCACATCAGGCCACAAGATAACCACCCAGAATTGGGGCCAGGTTCATCAGGTGGTGGGAGGTGGTCTAGCCAATTACCCTTTGGGAAGTCACCCATTGCCAAAGCAATGCCAACACCAGTTTTTCCTCTGGAAAAACCTCATGGTCTATCCATGAGAGACAGAGATCACACTCTCTGTAACCTACTCTTGGGGAAAAATCCCCGAAATTTTTCAACTTTTTCCCTTTCATCATCTGAAAGGGATACCACTATACCGTCTACTCACTATGGGGAAACCCATAGTGATCCACCTGTCCAGCCAACAGATAAACCACCCCCAAGGGAGGTTAAATTCATCATCTGACTTCCAGATGATGTGACCTTACCCAATACTGGGTAAAACTGCTTCCTAGATCAGGAAGCAGGTGGAGCGATGCCAGGTCTCACAAGGCCAATCGTTCCTCTGGCCATACCCTTATATGGCTAGACCACATTTTTAAACCTAGATATCTGTCTAGGGGGGAGAACCCTTTACCTGAGGGCAAAGGATTTTTACTCATTATTTTATTTTATCACCTAGACACTAGTCTAGGGGGGAGAACCCCACAAAATTTGCGGAGGTAACTAACATTCATTTATTCTAGCCTCTATTCTATTATTTAAACTTTCTTAACAATACACATAACATTTCACTCACTTACCAATACACTCCTTTTTTTTTACTTTCTACTTTCTCCATTTCGTAAATTACCACATAAAATTGTCATGGAAAAGTTTCTTTTTTCTTTTCTCTCTTTTTCATGTACTGTTATGGAAATGGGAATTTCCATTTTAGACTCTTATGGGTTCTGTATCATGTGATTTATATAGTAATATAGTTTAACCAATCAACAATTACCAAAAAACCCGCTGTGCTAACATCTGTTAAACCTCATGTTACAACATCTGTGAAACCATCTGTAAACCCTAATGAACCACCTCACTTCCACTTTCCACTTTCCTGCGTCAAGAACGGACGAAAATGGGCGCCTCCGGCCCCATTTTTGTAACATGTACCCTTTCCCTCTTTCTCTTTGTGTGCGCTGACAAGCAACGCAAGGGGGGAGAGTGTCAGGTCACAGTCCATGTATGTAGGGGTCACGTGACCCAGGGAGGTCACTATCGTCCTACCCACTGTGAATCATACATATTTGATACTCACAGCTGGGTTCTAGGACACCCACCTTACACCCAAGGAGGAAGGATGGAGGATGGGAGTGGGGAATGGCCAGCTGACTGAATAGAAAGGAAGCAGCAGCCCAAATAGGAATGAGGGAGTATAGCGGAATTGAATGGAGCAATGCAATAGTTGCAAGGTCCGAAGTAAGTCCGGAAAGTCCAAACTCGGAAGTTAAACTCCGGAATATTGGCAAACGTAATTAAATGGAATGAGCTAACCAATACAATGGGTATAAGTGGAGGTGGGGTCAAAGTCCGAGGTCAGAGCTAAGACCGGAGGTTCCGGAGACAGAGATGCAAACGGGATTCCAGAGCGGAGGTCCGGAGTCGGGAGCATAGGTGTTGCATGCTCGTCTGGGAGGTGTCGAGGTTGAGGTCGGACCTGGAATGTTCCAGAGTCGGACCAAAGGTGGTGTCGGAGCCAGAGGTGGGATAACCTCTTGGGAGTTGGCAAGGAGAAGGTGACAGAAGGGAAGTAGGGCTCTGGAGTTCGTTTCAGGGTTCCGGGAGCCCGGAGTGGAGGTTGGGCTTGTATGGATATGACAGCCATCCAAGATTGGCTCAAGCCCTGTAAAGTCAAGGATGTCCATTCTATCAGTGTTTCGTCCACCAATACTTCAACATTGTGGCCCCCTTGATGTGCCTCATGCGTAAAGGGGCCCCCTGGCTCTTCTCTGACGACTGTCATTCTGCTTTCAACACTCTGAAAGAAGCCTTCACATCAGCCCCCATCCTGACACATTGGGTACCCAACGCTGCAAGTGGGAATCTGCTACTGTCTCCAGAAAACAGAAGGTAGCACTCCAACTCACTCCCCAAAGAGCCAGGGAAGAAAGAGAAAGGGGGCTTAAAGGGTGTTGCAGTAGAACAGGTCCATATATTCAATGGGGAGGGGGGGAATTTCGGGGAAAAAATATAACTCTGGAAACTCCTGCTTATCTTCTTTCCGTGGTGGATTTCCCTAAAGGTCACAATAGCCCTTTACCAATTGTGTGGCCACTCACAGCACCCAAGTACACAGACTTCAAAAGTAGTGGGAGGGGGGGAAATCACCTATTCCGTTTCAATCACTACATACATATACCCATACAGTAAACATACAATTTGTGAAAAGAGTCCAAAATATATGGGTTTCGCTGAGCTAAGCCTCCACCAACAATGGTGGTAAGGTTTGGCTGCCATTGGCTTAGAATAAAATTCCAAACAACAAAAGGAATTGGAAAGGAAAACACAAACTTCCTCATACCACTCCAAACACTGCATCAAACCTCTGTCCCTTTATCCCATCCGACTCGCCTTATCCATAGCTTTTAACGATACCGATTTTGTGAAATTTGGTGGAGATTTGACTGAGAATGGGAATTCTCAGATGCGGTATACCTATCTTGATTATCCGTGCACAGGGAAACTTGGTCCAAATAAAATGCCATAATTCCAAGACTCCTCCAATGACTTCTTCAGCATTTATATCATTTTGCTAGCCCATATTTTCATTGAGACTAGCTCGCATGTGAGCATCCAAACAGTTCATATTGTCCTGTGACTGTCATATCCATACATACCCAATCCCGAACTGACTCCCGGATCCTCATCCTCATCACCTCCGGAGTCCTACCCTACCTCTGTCTGTTCCGATATTCACTTTCGGACTGAACATCACTCCTCTTGCCACCCTCCTCCTCTTACTCCTCTTACTCCTCACAACACCTCCACCCTTCTGTCACTCTCCTACCCTACTTCCATCCACTCTGATACTCACCTTTGGACCTGACACCATTCCTTCTCACTCCTCTCATCACCCTCCTCCCTCCAACCCTCTTCTGCCAAACCTCTGCCAAGTTATGACCTTCTGCCGCTGTCCCATACCCTGTACTTGGACACCACTTGTACCTTCACTCCAAGATCCCATCATAGCTCCGACCTCAGACTTTGACTCCACCTCGGCTTAAGTCCATTGCTGTCAGGGACGGCTCCGAAAGTGGCGAGGTCCTGGCATGCAGGGCTCGGTGGGACGAATAGCAGCTGTGTGTAGTGGCGATCTCGTCATGGGGTGAGCATCCCCGACCACTTAGTCTGAAGTGGAAATGTGAGTTATCATTAAAAGGGAAGGCTACACTACTTGCCTGAAGTGGAAATGTGAGAAGAAGGCTACTTCTTCGGTTCCCACTCCAGCTGTTATTATATACATGCGGGATCGATCACGTGGGGTGTGCCACGTCACCCTCGCACACAGCCACAGCTCTCTGGGTGCCTCCGTGGGAGATCCCGAGAGGGCCTGCTGTGGGTGCAGGGCGAGTGCGGTGGTGGTGGCAGCGATATAGGGGTGGTAAGATACAGGAGGGGAAATGGGCATGTGCGCCGGTGATACATTGAGCAGCGGGAAAGGTGGTCCATGTAAGAGAAAGAAAGAAAGAAAGAAAGGAAGAGGGAGAGGAGGGGGAAGCGGTGTGGAGTGGGGAAGCGGAGTGGGGATTGGGCGGGGCATGTTGGGGCATGCCCTGACATCACCCCCTCCTTAAGCCGCTTCACCTCAAAGTGGCTGGGCGGTCTTCTCTTTCTCTCCCTGGGGCGTGGGGGTGCGTCTGATGGAAGTCTTCCACTAGGTTGGAGGCGTGGGTTAGGTGGTCGCATGCGAGCCACTGGTTCTCTGAGTATGGCCATCCGGTATACTTTACCAAGTACCAGAGTTTCCAGCGCCGCCATCTGGAGTCCAGATTTTTTCGACCTCATACTCTTCTTCCCCATCTATGAGGTCTGGGCCCGGGCGTGGGTCGGTGGGGCGTTCGGCAATGTCATCAGGGTGGTGTGGTCTGACGTTTGTCACGGACATGACTGGGTGGATCCCCTTCTGTCGTGCGGTGAGTCGGAGTTTGACAGCGGCAGGGGAGATGACTTTGGTGATCTCGAAGGGGCCAATCCACTTGTGGTCTAGCTTCTTGGTCGGACGGTCAGTCATGTAGTTCTGGGTGCTAAGCCAGACTTGGTGGCCTTCTTGGTATGTAGGGGCTGCCTCGTGATTGCGGTCATAGTAGCGGGCCATCTCGTCCACCGCGTGCTCCAGCGCTGCCTTCACCTCCTCTTGCATTTTCATCATTCTCGAGGAGATCACATCTGCGGCTTCCACCTTGGATGTGTGTGTGGGCTCTGTCCCCATCCTGGGGTGTTGCCCAGTGTCGAGCTCGAAGGGGGTTTGGCAGGTAGCGGAGTGGATGCGGTTGTTGTAGGCGAACTCCGCTAGTGGGAGCCAGTCCGCCCAGTTGTCTTGGCGGTGGTTGACAAACACTCAAAGGTAGGCTTCTATCTCTTGGTTTACCTGCTCGGTTTGTCCGTCTGTCTGTGGGTGGTAGGGTGTCGGGGGTGAGCTTGACTCCGAGGAGGTCTGCAAGTTCCTTCGAGAAGTGGGAGATGAAGGTGCTTCCTCTATCGCTGAGGATCTCTTCGGGTAGGCCATGGTGTTTCCAGATGTGTTCAAGGAAGAGCCGCACAATTCCTGCTGAATCCACCGTCGTCATCGTGGGGACTGCATGGATGCGCTTGGATAGGCAGTCTACTACGACGAGAATGGCGTTGTATCCCTTCAACTCAGGAAGCTCCCCTACCATGTCGATAGAGATCACTTGCCAGCGGCATGTGGGGACTTTGTTCGGGATGAGCTTTCCAACCTTGCGGGAGGGGAAGGACTTGATGCGGTTGCAGGTGTCGCACCCGTGCATGTACCGTCCTATGTACTCCACCATCCGGGGCCACCAGTAGTCACGGGAGACGAGTTCCAGGGTCTTCCATCGCCCTGGGTGCCCCATCACCTGTGTAGCTGCACCAGGTCATGGCGGAGCTGCGGGTCCTTGGGGACGTATATTCTTCCTCTGTATAGGACTAGCTCCCCCTGTTTCTCCCATTCATCTGACCTAACCGTCCCCTCTCTGAGTTCTCGCATCGCCTTCACCACGCTCTCATCCAGGTCCTTTGCCCTGCAGATCCTCTCGAGGATAGTCATCTCTTCTCCTTCTACAGAGATTGCCTCCATCGCGTGGGTTTCGAACCAAGTTGATTGGAGGAGTGTAAGCCCCTCGTTGTCATCCTTACCTCTCGGGTGGTCAGCACAGCGTGAGAGTGCATCCGGTTTCCCCATGAGCTTTCCTGGGTGGT